AACAATACTTCAAGAAACTAATCAAGAACTGAAACTCTTCAACTTCAAGAACGAAATTTCGCTGAAAATAACATGATTGGCGTGTGGGTAAACGAACCCAAAACTATGAGAACTCACATACCTCTTAGGGATTAAACCCATGGCAAAACAACATTCGATTCACAAGAAAACTTGATGAACGCCTTGACTTTTCGCCTTTTCTCCTCTTCTTGAACTCTTCTCAAAACCCTAAGCGTATATGGGATTTGTAAAACCGATCCAAATCAGATTTGACCCCAAAATAATACCAAAAATCATTTTAAGTTGATAGGTTAAGGAAAAGACCAAAATACCTCTCTTAAATCCGGGTAACTTTCCTTAACTAAACAGCCAGATTTTCAAATGGTCATATCTCCCACATCCGAACTCGAAAATTAGCAAACTCGGTGGCGTTGGAAAGAGGATTTCAAGTCCTTTCATTTGATATCTTATGGGTCACCTAAATCATCAAGTTATGGTCGTTTGAAGTTGACCCAAAACTCATAACTTAGCAAAATTCTCAAATTGGCTCTTTCCAAATTGATTCTTTCTATTTCTAGCTCTTTCTAAGGCGGGATGTTACATATGTAACATCACCCACACCCTCATTCCCTCATAATGAAAACTCCATATCCCTACTAATTGTAATTATGACCAAAACTTAGATTACAAGTTCATGAAAATCCTTTATCTTTACCCACATTTACATATTCATTGGTAATTCATCAAGTAAGTCATATCAACCTAAAACACTTATCAAAGAAGTCATACAATAACATATTAATACATAATCCAATCTCTTTTACCTAAATTTCATATTTTATTCATCCAAACGTCGTATCTGCATGCTTAATCATGATTCTTCCGTCAAATTTATATTATGTACATGTTTTTCTAACCATAGTCCACTACTCATAAACAATTGCCTACCTGGACACCAAGTTGCACTCAAAAAGATAAATATGTTTTTTTAAATCAATTATTTGGAGTAAGGATGAAATGGATTGTTACAATACGTATATACATATAACAATAATTCTGTTAGTCTATTTTAGGCTCCAATCTTTTCTACTCAAATTAATACCCCCTTGCCCACTCTCTCTTTCACACCAAACACAACTCTATTAAAAAATTGGCCAAACATATACACAGTTCCTCAAACTTGCCCTCATTTTTAGTTTTGACATTTTATAGTTTATCTTAGCCTTGTTCCATGTAACCCTTAGACCATCTCTAATCTATCTCTATTTTACTCTCCATTCTCTATATTTGGAGAGTAAAATAGAGAATGGGCACTCCAACCCCCCTCTATATCACTCTCTATTCTTCATATTTAGAGAGTTGAATAGTAGTTCTCCAAATTTGGAGAACTACTATATATTTACACTCTCTATTTCACTTTTTCAATATTTTATTATTAACATATATTATTTTACATATAATGTCATTATTTAAATATCTAATATTCATAATTCCTTTTAAATGTAAAATAATATTTAAAAAATATATTATTTCACATATACTACTTTCATCCCTAATTAATAGTATTTTAATTTTTTTTCTAATTTTTGTCAACAATACAATTTGATTTTATTATTAATTTTCACTATAAAAATACACAAAATTAAAATGATAAGATGAAAAATTTAATTTAAAACTACAATACATGAGATGATAATTTAAATACAAGATAACAATACAATAATAATTTAAATATAAGATAAAATACAATACAATACATAACATAATAATTAATTTATCAAAACAATAATTTAGTAATCCGGTAGGCCGTTTCCAAATTTAGCACTATTCGAAAAAAAATTAGGGTATGATCCAGAGAATTGCTGCGATTGTAGTTGTGATTGCAGTTTTGATTGTCGATTCTTTTTTCAATTATTCGTTGTTCTTGTTGCATGTAATCACATGCAACTGAAATAAGAATGGAATTAGGGTATGATCCAGATAATTGTTGTCGATTGTGGTTATGTTATTTAGGAATTTAGAATAAAACTAATATTTTATATTAAATAAAAAATTTTGCAAAAATAAAATTTATATCACATAAAAATTATATAAAGTAATTATTTGGGAAAAAGAAAGAAAAGATTTATATTATGAAATAAGAAAATAAGAATGAAATAGAAATAATAATAATATAATATTGAGGAGGAATTTTTTTTTTTTTAATAGAAAATAAAATAGAGAATTGAATTGAAGTTGATTGTCTTAAAAAAATAGAGAACTCTATATTTAGAGAATAAAATAAATTTTTAAGGTTGGAGATGCGACTGGCTGCAAATTTCTATAAAACCCACAACCAGCCCAAATATCTATGCACTCAGCCAAATTTTTTTTTTTTTTTTTTTTTAAATGACTTCTCTCTGCGCAAATTCTACAATATATTCCTTTAACAGTAACATTTCATTACATTCTAAAAACATTAGTGTCTTCAATTTTATGCCTCCAATCAAAAGGAATAATGTTTATTCCCCATATACTATCCGTTGCTCAAATATTCAATTATCTGACCCTAACTATGTTACGATTTTCGATACGACGCTTCGTGACGGAGAGCAGGCCCCTGGTGCATCCATGACTGCCAAACAAAAGATGGACATTGCATGTCAGCTAGCTAAGCTTGGTGTTGATGTTATTGAGGTTGGTTTTCCAGCTGCCTCTCAGGCTGAGTTTGACCTTGTAAAGTTGGTAGCACAAAAAATTGGTAATCTTGAATTATGTCTCCATCTTATTTAAAATTTAATAGTACTATTATATTGTATCTAAGTGGATTCGCATGTATTTGGGATACATAACAAATTTCGCTCGCCTCTGTCCCATGTCCCTCGCCACTCTCTCATGTATTTGGTATCCCAGATACATGCAAATCACTCTAGATACATGTATCTAGTGTGATTCAGATGTATCTAGAATACATATATGAATCTCACTCACCTCCCTCCCCAATCTAGCTCGCCTCTCTCCCTATTTTAGTGTATCTGGTAGCAAAAGTACATGTATCTAAGTGTAAGACACGTTAGTAACTCTTATTTAGTGATAAAATATGTAATACTTTGAAAGTCTAGGTAATAATAGTATATATCTATGATAGTGAATTATGTCTAATTATTGAATTATACTATGTCTAAAAAGGTAATAACATGGATGAAGAGGGCTATGTACCGATGATTTGTGGTTTGGCGAGATCTACTAAGGAAGATATCGATAGAGCTTGGGAGAGTTTGAAGTATGCAAAGACACCGATGATTCATATGTTTATCGCGACAAGCGATATACATATGAAGTATAAATTGAATATGAGTAGAGAACAAGTTGTGAAGAGAGCTAGGAGCATGGTGGCTTATGCCAGAAGTCTCGGGTTCGAGCATGTTAGGTTTAGCTTGGAAGATGCTACAAGGTTTGTAATATTTGTCATATTTATATTTTTACCATATGGTGTGTATATAATTGAATATGTATTATTTTTGTCAGATCTGATAAGGAGTTTGTTTATCATATTATTGGAGAAGTTATTAAAGCTGGTGCAACATGCATTTGTGTTGCTGATACTGTTGGATGCAATTTACCAAATGAATTTGCACAACTAATTGTTGACATAAAAGCCAATACATTAGGTATCCAAAATGTGATCCTTGCAGTACATTGTCACAATGATATTGGACTTGCTACTGCCAACACATTAGTTGTATGTATTTGTTAGCTTGTAACTACTCCCTCCGTCCACTTTTAATTGTCACAGTTTCCTCTTTTAGAGTCAAACGATAAGAATTGACTAAAATTCTACGATGTATTTTGAAAATTAGTCAATTTGACATTCGAAAAGCGCAACATGACAATTAAAAGTGGATGGAGGGAGTACTTCATTTATAAGAATATAATATATAGTTAGTTTGACTCTCATACCTCGATGGAATTTAGGGAATTTGTGCAGGGGTAAGACAAGTAGATGTAACCATCAATGGTATTGGTGAAAGAGCTGTAAATGCTTCTCTAGAAGAGGTGGGAGAGAATAAACTTTAATTATAAGGACAAATTATATTAATATCTATACTTATAAATTCGTACTTTTTCTATATAGATAGTAATGGCCATAAAATGTCGTGGAAAGGAAGTACTAAGTGGTCTCTATACTGGGATTAATACAAAACATATATTCACCACAAGCAACATGGTATGTATATATAAAGTGGCGTACGCAAAATTTATCTTAAGCGGTGTCACCTATTTAATATATATATATATATATATATATATATATATATATATATATTACTTGTTAAAATTAATCATGCATATAATAATAATATTGTTATATGCAGGTAGAGGAGTATAATGGGCTTAAGCTACAACCACATAAGGTCATTGTTGGAGTTAATGCTTTTACTCATGAAAGTGGAATTCATCAGGTCAATTTTATTTAGTTAATACTATATATATTTATCAACTCAATATTTCAAAACTCTTTTTTTTTTTAACCCATCATCCTAGTGTGACATATTTATTTAACAAAACGAGGAAACAAAGTCTAAAAAGTGTGAGTCCGAACAGATAGACTAAGAAATAAATATGAATCTACGACATCCATATTTCAAGGTTCGTAAGACATTTTAAAAAGGTATCAAATGTCAATTTTTGATCTAGTTAAGAGCCATCTTCTTCCCCATTTTTGAACTACGCTAGCTACAAACAAAAGCGGTCCTTCAAATTTCATTGAATTTTTTTATTTTAGACTTGTTCCTATTCAAGAAATTTACTTATTTTAGATTTGTTTTAACAATCGGCTGCCAAAATTTTAAAATGTATGTAATAAAATTATGGATGACACTACAAAAATGACGAATTAAATAAGAACACATGGTATTTGCGCCAAATTTAATTGTAAAAATAAAAAGCAAAGAAAACTATGTAAAACCTATTTAACTAATTAAAAAGGTATTTGAATTTATTCTACGTACTTAATTTAGGATGGAATATTAAAGAACAGAGGCACATATGAATTTATACCTGCTGAAGATGTTGGATTTATTCGTGCTACTGAACACGGTATTAAATTGGGAAAACTCAGGTACACACTGTTTTATCATGATGATGTTGTGATTCAGTTCGGTCAATTATTTTATAAAATTTATGTCATATTATTTTTTTTGTTATCCAATTTTATATAATCAAAATTACATTTTCTGAAACCGTCTCAATAGTTTTGATTTTTTATTGATATCGGTACGATGCATTATTGTTATTACTATTCTTTTCGCTTTATTTCATTGTTGTTATTGTCAAATTGCTTTGAAATGCTTTACTTAAATCAATAGTCTATCGAAATCAACCTCTCTAACTCTACTAGGTAGGGGTAAGGTCTGTGTACACTCTACCTTCTACAAACTCCACTTGAGGAATTACACTGAATTTGTTGTTATTGATATGATTCAATAGATATTTGTTTGTTTTTTCTAAAATAAATATCATGCATTCTTATATTTTGTGCAGTGGACGTCATGCATTGAAAATTAAAATGCTTGAGGTATGATACATATACTAAGATTTCAATAAATTAAATTATGATAGTATTATTATATATGAATGTGCATCAACAACACTCATTTTATTTTGTCATAGCTTGGATATAATTTTGAGGAAAAACAACTTGGGGACCTCTTTTGGCGATTCAAGTCATTGGCTGAGAGGAAAAAGGTGAATTAAATTATTGATGTTTTTATAGTGCAACACTCAATTTTGTTTTATTGATGAGACTTAGGGTGTGTTTGGTGCGAAGGAAAACATTTTTCAATGTTTTCATGTTTGGTTGGTTTAAATGTTTTCAATTTTATGCCACCCTTACCCCCTACCCCTACCCTAGCCATCCCCCAAACCGCCACCCCCCACCTCCCTCCTAAAGAGTATTTTCTAGTCTCAAGTCAAAAATGAAAGATATGTTATGGAAAATATTTTTCATTCACCAACCAAACATTAAGAAGTATTTTCTACTCACCAACAAAACATGAGAAAATACGTTAGAAATTCACTTATTTTCTAAGAAATTTTTTTCTAGTAGAAAATATTTTCCATCATACATACACACTTACTTAAAAAAATAAAATTACGAGTGTTGCCGTATTATGTGTATCGGAGAGGTAGGGAGATGGCCTCCACTACGCTTCTCCTTATTAATAGTATTATTTAGGTATCACATTGTTTTTTTTATATGTATTATTATCTGTTGCTCACATTTGCTTTGTTTCTTCCTATATTGTTGTCATATTTTCTTTTTTCATACTTTGAATTATTTTCTTTTTTGATGAGCTAAGTATGTGTCAAAAATAACTTTTCTACTCCATAAAAGTAGGAACAAGGTCTACTTATATCCTACCCTCCAATCTCCATAGATTTCATTATGAAATTACACTCGGTATATATTGTTACATGTTTGTTTTTTTACCTATTTATCTTCTCTACATCTATCTTTTCAGAATATAACAAATGATGATTTAAGAGCGCTCATATTAGACGAAACTATCCAGCCTCAAATTGGCTTGACAACTTGGAGATATGCATGTAAATACTACTACTTTCTTTCTTTTTTGTTGGTTTTCTTTTATTAATTAGCTCAGATTGAAAAACGATAGTTCTATAATTTCTGTTTATGCAAAGGATTTACTGTTAAATGAACGTATTATATGATACAGGAACTTTTCACCTATTGATGGAAGAGCTTATCTAATGTTGCAGTAGCTAGCCCAGGGTTTTGTGCTACATTAATTAATTGATGTATTAAATTTTCTTGAACACTCTTTTAAGTTCTTAGTATTGAACCCCTTGTACTTTCTAAACCCTGAGTTTAAACTTATGTTTGTTGTATTTTTTAATAAATATATGCTCTTAAAGAAAAATATGTTGCTTCCACCACTGCAGTTAGGGTACGAACCTATATAAAAGCCTAAAGAAAAATATGTTACAAATGAAACGCCTAAGAAGAGCGAACGTAACACCTCGCTAAGTGAAAGAGCTGGATTTAGAAAGAGTCATTTTTGGAAAGAATGAAAAATCTGGAAAATTGTTTAAGTTAGGTTAAGTTTGAGTTTTGGGTCAACTTCAAACGACCATAACTCCTAGCTCAGGATGAGTTAGGTGTGCTACCAAATACCGTAGGAAAGATCTTTGAATTATCTTTTCAACGCCACTGAGTTTTCTCGATTTAGAATTTGTATGAGGGAGATATGCCCATTGGAAGTTGGGCTGTCTAGATAAGTAAAGTAAAAATCGGATTTTAAGGGGTATTTTGGTCTTTTCCATGCCCAATTTTTTTTATTTTCGTTTTTAGAAGTTTAATTGGGGTATAAACAGAATTAGATCAGTTTACGCTTTACCAAATTACTCTAGGATTTTTGGAGAAAGAACTCAAGAGAAGAAAAGTTCAAGATTCATCAAGTTCTTGCGATTTGTTAGTGGATTTCGCCAAGGATACTATCCTACGAGGTATGTGAGACTTTCATAGCATTGAATTCGTTCACCCACACGCCAAACATGTTTATTTTAGCGTGAATTGGTTCCAAAAGGTTGAAAGTTTGATGTTCTTGATATATGTTCTTGAAATTGGCTTTAGTTATTGCGATTTGATGGGATTGTTGAGTTCTTGATGGAACCCTGTCGATTTTATAGCGATGTTTGATTAGATTCTTAGGTTCATGTACTAGTATCTGAAACTAAAGAGGATTTGAGAAAAAGAATCGAATTTAGGCGAATTGGGATTCGAAAACGAAGAAGGAAAAAGTCGGGAAAAACTGGTGTCCCAGTCCGCATCGCGGACCTGCCCTACCTTTTCCCAAAATTCTTCCCCGCGTCGCGGAGCAGTCACGGACCGTTCTGCCTCAAAATTTATTTCGCGACCAAATATTTAAATGCATCTCCGTGTCGCGGACTTGTTTCCAGGCAATGATTTCTTGATCGTTTCACATGTTTAACTATCTTAAACATTCCTAAACATCATGAGATCCTTCCTATCACAAATCACAATCCTTGAATCCATAAATTCAAATTCAAGGAAAGTTAAGAGCCAAGTCTAGAGAATTCTTAGAGTCATTTCAAAAGGACACATTACTATCTATAATTTTGAATTATTTTTTATGTCCACGTGGACAAATATATATGTTTAAAATACGGTATTAAATAGTCTAGGGAGGTAATAGGTCCTTATGAAAGTTTAGTATCGCAACAACAAATCCGACCAAAGTTGGGGTATTTTTCAGACCCTTATCCCTAAAATATATTTAATAAAACATATAAAAAAATCGATTGATTCATAAAACTAATCTATCTGTGTCACATAAAATGGGATAAAAAAAGGTAACATGTATTATTTAATTTTGAAAACTACGTAGAAATATTGTAAATCTCAATAATTAACAACATTTGATTGACTCTTGAAATTTTATTTGTGCTACCTACATTGGGATAAGAGAAGTAACATATATTATTAAAAATTTACGTAAAAAGTACTATAAATTACAATAATCAAAAGAAGTAACATGTAATATTTAATTTGGAAACTACGTAGAAAGTATTGTAAATCTCAATAATTAACAACATTTGATTGACTTTTGAAATTCTATCTGTGCTACATACATTGGGACAAGATAAGTAATATATACTATTTAAAAATTACGTAAAAATATTATAAATTACAATAATTAACAACTTAAAATATTTGAAAATCATATTAAAATTTAATTGACTATCTAAATTCAATCAATGTCACATAAAGTGAGACAAAAAATAACATATATCACGGGCACTTGTGTCTAGTAATACTAATAATTTACGAGTGTTGTCGTATTATGTGTATGGGAAAGGTAGGGAGAATATGGCCTCCACTATGCTTCTCCTTATTAAAATAGTATTATTTAGGTATCACATTTTTTTTAAATATGTATTATTATCTGTTGCTCACATTTGCTTTGTTTTCTTCCTATATTGTTGTCATATTTTCTTATTTTCTTCCTTTTTGGCGAAGCTAAGTATTTATCAAAAATATTTTTCTAACTCCACAAAAGTAGGAATAAGGTTATATGTTTACACTTCATAAATTTCATTTATGAAATTACACTCGGTATATATTTTTGTTGTTATATGTTTGTTTTTACCTATTTATCTTTCTCTACATATATTTATGTTTTCAGAATATAACAGATGATGATTTAAGAGCACTCATATTAGACGAAACTATCCAGCCTCAAATTGCTTGACAACTTGAAGATAAATGTCACGTATTGATGGAAGAGCTTATCTAATGTTGCAGTAGCAAGCCCAGGGTTTTGTGCTACATTAATTAATTGATGTATTAAATTTTCTTGAACACTCTTAGGTGAATTCAATCTTTTAAGTTCTTAGTATTGAACCCCTTGTACTTTTTAATCTTTTGTTTGTTGTATTTTAAATAAATTTATGCTCTTAAAGAAACGGTTACATCATTAATTTCCCTTGCGGATTCTCCATTAAAACTCTGTCTCGAGGACAAGAAGCGAAGTTGAACGAGTATTAAGATAGTAGCCTGGTGCTGAGGCGGCAGGTTATGGATTACTTGAGAATAAAATTTGATTAGTGATACAAATATATATACTACAAGAAAAATGGTCAATAATGAAGGGAAAACTGGGCCCTAAAACTGAGATTCTGGTCCTTAAGAGTCATTAGCGATCGGAAATTCTGGTCGCCACCCCGTCCCTATAGCCTCCATCGCTAAAAGTCATTTAGGACGACGTGTGGTCGAATAGCTAAGCTGGTCCTTAATTTTATTTTGCGACCAGCCTTGAACTGGTCCTCAAAATGCTTTTAGGGACCATAAATTTTGGTCCCTGATTTAAGAGATTTTGCGACTATTAAGAATCTGGATTTTCAGGGACTAGATTCACTGGTCCTTCCATATAAGACCAATTGGTGCTTAAAGGTTTTAAGGACTAGTTTTGCTGGTCCTTAATGTCTTTTTGTATAGATATGTGCTTCTTAATTTTCTATATTTGCAATTTCAATACAATTAATTAGGCAATAATCAAACACTTATACAGAAAACCAATAATCTGCTTTCGTGTATATAATAAATCAGTCACGTTATTGTTTGGACATCAATTTCATGAAAATAAAGAAGAAAAAATTAACATCCTCTATCAAATAATATTAATGTAAATGATCATGTCCTATTAGTTTATCTGCTTAGGCTCTTTGAATTCCAGAACCAACAGTTAGCAGTTCCCGTGTTTTAAGAGTCAGGTCCAGCAACCATTTCGAGTAAATTCAAATCTAATTTGTGTCCAGCCCATGGAGGAGAGCTGATCTTCACACAGAAAACCTCACTACCGCAAATTCCTGCAGTGCATAAGAAACAAAAAAGTCCCAAACTCAGTTCACACACATACATATAGAACATACGCTATTATCCCAATTACGCGCCAAATTGCACATAAGTGAAATAAATCAAACTAAGAGGCAAGATCAAACACAGAAACAGAATTCCAGATCAAACCATCAGCACTTCTATCAGTAAACCTAGAAGACGTACAGGGAAAAAGACATAGAGCAAACCTGAGCAAAAACAATGTGGAATGAAGCAACTAACTCTTGAAACTGGGGAGCTGCTCGCTCACCTTAGCAAAATACATTTATAGTCATTAAAAACAATATATAGAAAGTAGCGTCATATATGACTGATCTACTCAGACAGTTCCAAGCATGCAGTTTGTTGTCGTGAGGTCACCAGCTCAGTCATTAACTATGAAAAGCAAAACTAATTGATAGATTTCATTTAGAGAGGACAGAAAGTACATCTCTATCAGTTTATAATCGATTAATGCAGGCAATGCAAATTCAATTCTAAAATTCTAAAATTGCATGTGAGGAGGTTTGTTGAAGATATGATTAAACAAATACAAGTGGTGTCATCTCTAACAACTTAAACTTAAACAAAAACCATTTAAGAGCTAATTAATGGCAACTTTCAGCTTTTATTTCTTAGCTGATTCTCAAAAGAAACAACACAACTATGAAAAAAATTTAATCTACCAAAAAGATAAATAAATCAAATAACTGAAGTTGTTAAGAAGTTCCTATAAAACTGCTAAAAGATAACAATAAGACCCATTTCTAGGACCTGGAACAGATCCAATACAAGTTACTGCCGAAAGTTATGGGAATCTTCATATATATTTAAAGCTGCAAAATCGCAATTCGTTTTAAAGTTAACACAAACATTTTTCTATGATATTGCATAAATGAAATAAAGGACTACTAGCTTAAGAAAAATAAAAGGTTAAGAGCAGATGAATGATAAACATGTACTCATGAACTCATACAAGTTTTTTTTAAGAAAATAGAACCTTCTTTTAATTTTCTTGACAATAATCTACAAAATATAAGGTTTTTCTTCCGGTAGAAAAATAAATTTAGACTACTTGAGCCACATTTAGAGATAAATACAAGAGTTCTGCATTACTTTAAAATTTAAAGATAACTATCCAACAAATATGAGGTAAATTTTAAGATAATTATCCGCTGAGTTTTTTTTTGACTAATCTAGTGTCTGTAGGAACTGTAAATTACCAAAACAAGATGGGATTTGCCTGTAAAAAGATTGTTAGAAAAGTACATCTCGATCAGCTGCAAGATGACCAAGCGTTGCGAGCAGTTTTTCACTAAACTTGATGTTCTCAAATATTTGCCTTTGGGAGATTTCCAATAGAAAGTGGCATACTTCAACTCAGTTGGTTTTGCGAAAAATTACAGAACACTAATGAGCTAAAACCAAATATTTATGATAGAGTTTTCCTCTCAGTTGGATTTGGTTCATGTAACATCTCGCAAATTGAAATAGCTAGGAAGAAACTATGAACTGGAAATAGTCATTTTTTGGAAAGAATGAAAAATCTGGAAAATTGTTTAAGTTAGGAAAAGAGTTTTTGGTTAACTTCAAATGGCCATAACTCCTAGATCAGGATGAGTGTGTATTTCTTGGAATGATCTTTCCAACGCCTCCAAGTTTGTGCGATTCCGAGTTTGTATGAGTAAGCTATGCCCATGGGAAGTTGGGCTGTTGGATTAAGGAAAGTCCAAATCCGGATTTTTGAAGGGTAGTTTGGTATTTTCCTTACCCTTTTATTTTAATTCATTTTTGGTAATTACTTAGGGTCTAAACTGAACTTAGTCAGTTTACGCTTTTGGAAAAAGAGTTAGGGTTTTGAGAGAAGAGAAAAGAAAACGAGAAAAGAGGAGAAAGGAGAAGAACGTTCAAGATTCGTCAAGATCGTCGAGTTTGGCTTGTGGATTTTGTTGGGGTGATCCCTACAAGGTATGTGAAATCACATAGCGTTGGGTTAATTCGCCCACGCGCCAATCATGATTATTTCAGCGAATTTAAGTTCTTGAAAGCTTAGAAATTGAGTTCTTGATGGATTTGTTGAAGTTCCATTAAATTCTTGTTTCGTTGAATTTGTTGAGGAGTTGATTGATCCGAATCTGTAGTTTTAGGTTCGATTTTGAGTAAAATCTGATGTACTTTGAACATTTAATCGACTCTATGTAATGGGTGAAAGAACCCATGGGGTTTAGAGCTGGAAAATGAAGAAGAAATTTCGTCGGTCAAAATTTGGCACTGCCTCCGCATCGCGGAGCCATTCCCCAGATCTGAGAATTTTCATTTCGCGTTGCGGAACTGTCACGGAGCGTTCTGCCTCAAAAGTCGTTTTCAAAACTAAATTTTAAAAGCTTCTCCGCATAGCGGACCCACCCTCAGATATCGATTTTTGGTCTTTTCTCATGTTTAGCTGTCTAAAATCATTCCTAAACATCATGGGATCTTTCCAATCACAAATCACAATCCTTGAATCCATAATTCAATTCAAGGACCAGTTAAGAGTCAAGTCAAGAGCAGTTAAGATCAAAGTCAAGAGAAGATCTTAGAGTTTTCCAAAAGTTTTTCCAAATGTTTTAACTTTGTTTTAAGACTCAAAGTTCAAGTTGAGTAACGAGTAAAGAGTAAAGTTTGAAGTCCATTTCTTCAAAAGTATATGGGGACTATGTATTCCCAAATAGTTTAAAATATTTTTCACATTTAAACAAGAAAGGAAACCTCGATTTCCCAAGGGCCTTCGAGATAGTTTTTCAGAAAAAAGTAATCGCTTTCTAAATGAAGTAAGAGGGGAAACTTTGATTTCCAAGATAGCCTTTGAGCTAAGGTTTTGAGCACTAATCTCAAATCACAGAAGAAGTATGTTTTTAAACATAAGAGCTAATATTATTATATTTTTGGGAGTAGTATTGAGCACCGATATGGGGGAGAGTCAGACAACTCACAACCCCATAAACCATGTAGCCATCATAAGTAGAAAAGGGTCATACTTTTTAGATAAATCCTTTTCGCATAGACTAGTGGATCCACTTAGTAGTTCAGGTCCTATACCTGTTGCAAGGTATAGGATGCGCTGGCAGCTTGAGGGAGATCGTTGTATCATCACAATAGCTCTTATGTGATGGTTGTCGGTTAGAGAAACTCCCACAGTAGTACTTTGTATTTTTATATACATCAGTTTATTTGTATCTTTGCATACACACAGAGTTGACATCATGTTTTAAACAATTTTTCTTTATATTGCACTTGTTTTAAACTGCTTTATATTGAAATGAGTTCAGTTATGTTGAGTTGAGTTGAGCCAGGTAAGTTCTTCAGTTCCTTTCATATTCTTTTCAAGCCTATGTTTTTTTAACATTCCAACTCGCATACTCGTACATTCAATGTACTGATGCCAGTTTGCCTGCATCATATTATGATGCAGACACACGTAACTAGGATCGGCATCCAGCGTATCGTTGATCCAGTGAGCAGTTCAGAGTCTGTTGGTGAGCCTCTTTGCATTCCAGAGGATCCCTTTTGTTTACTTTCAGTATTAGATAGTTCATTAGGATGTCGTGGGCCTATCCCGACATCCATCTCAGTTGTTTTAGAGGCTTCATAGTCAGTCATATGTTAGATCATTCGTCATCATTTTGTTATTGACTTATATTCAGATTTGAGTTGCCATTTTGGCTAAGTTAAATGTTTATTTTCAAAACATTATGAGTTCAGTTTGAGATAGTTAAGTTGTTTAGCATTTGAATTCCTTTCTTATTGCATATAGTCTTCCGATGAGTAAGTAAGTCAGGTCAAGGGTTCGCTTGGGGCCAACAATGGTTCTCGAGTACCAATCCCGCCCAAGGTGTAGGCTCGGGGATTGACAGTTCAGATGCATTAGAACAACTTGGGAAAGGTTTCCAATAGAGTTTGGAATTTTCAAATATAAGAATCGGTTCATATGCCGTATAAAAAATTAAAATGCATTTAGATAATGCACTAAAAGTATACCTTATTCCTGGGGTATGAGTATAC